GAAGTCCCGGAGTTGGGGACTGGCTTCAGTAGAAGCTGCTGGGACTCCCAGCAGCTTCTACTGAAGCCTTCCGAGTAAATCGCCAGAACGCCGACACCTCCTCATCACTCCACCGCTCCCATGTTTTGTGTTGCCATAAGTTACTCTCTCTCCGTTGGTGCGCGGGGCGCGATGCTAATGCTAATAATGCTAATGCCAGCAAATACAATGGCGGCTTCACAAAACTTTTCAGAGTTTTACGAGGCGTGGTTTGCAATTCGCACAGCCAATCGAAATTGGTACTTTCTCTCCCCAGGATAGTACCACCTCTCTAGCAGGCACTAAAAATGGGGGTAAAAGTTCTCGGGACTAAGTAATCTTTTTGGTGTGAACGCAAAATTCCAGGCACTAACGGAAAAGTATGGGTGAAAGTACTCTGGTGTGAACGCGCCTATTGCTTTGCCAGTTCAAAAGGTCAATATTTAACTTCTAAAGTTTAGAAACTTGACTTTTTCATAACTGGAAGATCCCTGGAGTGCATTGGTGTAAAGTTAGATGTACAATGTGGTGGTTGTTTGTGTGGCTAATGTTGGGCCATGAAATAATGTACGTGTTACAATCTGAATACTAATACGTTGTAGATTCTAGTGTTGAATAGTTAAAAGCTTAACTCCAGGCTGAAGAAATAGTTGAGATCCATGCTGCTTAGATTCTTTTTATAAACATTTGCTTTGTCAATACTGCAAATAAAGATAATAGGAAACAGAAATAAACAACATTGTCATCAGTTCAGTTTTATCGCAGGCTGCTGGGCGGAGAGTCCATGCCATGTCCAGCTGACCCTCATGCTGTTTCTGGTTGGCAGTGTGTGTGTGAACATCCATAGCCTTGTCATCGATCCATGGTCAGGACCTGCACTCTGTCCCTTAGGTTAGCTCTGTGGAACATTCTGGGCTCAGGTCCCAGAGAATAGTGACATGTCAGCAGCCCATTCAAATGAACAGGCTGAGGGTAGCACTATATTAGCAGTGCTGGGATGGGGGATGGGGAGGGCTAAAACTGGTGCTGTGTCAAACATTGCAGGGGTAGACCAGGGAGCGTGGCTCCATGAAAGGGCTGGTGTTCCTCCATAGGCTCTGAGCTCGGGACAGTGTGAAACAATATAATACTGTTGGTAAGATAGATGAAACGGCAGCTTTCTTCTTTAAGGTTGTATTTCTTTATGCCAAGAGGGGAAATTGCAATGTGAATTACTGTCCCAGAGTACACTGTGTCCTCAAACCAAAATCATGACATTGACAATATGGTGATATGAAGTCATGTCTGGCGTTAGTGCTCAATTCTGATGTATTGCTCAAACAAATGTTGTTGTTATGATCTTAACATTGTTATTTAAAATCTCGACTATATCAGATTGTCAGATCAGATGGTCACGGTTCGTTACTGACACACATGCACAAAGAACAGTTACAAACATCACAGGCAACACAACGTCGTACAAAACAAAAAAACATGCAGGATACTGAAGTCAGCTTTCACAAATTGATGTATGAGTCGATGTACTGTGGAAACTAGGGATGGGAACGATTAATCGAGTGGATTAAAATGAGTGGCCAGCCTAAGCAACAATAAGCGCTGCTTGGCAACCGTGTGTGGCGACAAAGTATATAGACATTTTGACAGGAGAGATTTAGCTTTGCCGGTATTCAACATATTTTACCAGTCATAGTCCGGTAATTATTTACGCTCTAAGAAGAGTCCTAGACATGGCGTCAAAGGAGTAATATGTGGAAATATTTCGACCATGTTAGTGAATGCGGTGTAGAGTGCAAACTATGCCAAATTAAACTTATATACATAGGCTACTATACCTTGCTATACCCGCAACCTCCGTTCCAGCTGAGAGGGTCTTCTCTACAGCTGGCCTGATAGTGAATCGCCTCCACACATGAAAGCTGTAGGCCTATAGCTGTCAAACTGTGATCACCAGTTCAATACATTTGACAAATTCGACTTGGTTTCTATACTTATTTGAACATGTATTTATTTATTTCCAAAAGTTATTGAAAACATTTTTTGGGAAAATAAAATTATTTTTTTTTTATTTTTTTTTAGGATATGTACATTTCCGTTAACCGTTTTTTTGGGGGGTCGAATATACATTTGCTTTCAAATTCCCATCCCTAGTGGAAACCAGCACATTTGTGAGCTAATGATGACAATGTTAAGGAGAACATGTCCTGTTGCAGTGGAGCTACCTCTGTTAGAAGTGTGTGTGGATTTGGTGATTTCTTGACTACGTTTGGGGACCATGAATGTCTATGTAAATGATCATAAGCCATCCAATAGTGCAATCGGTTTGGTCACAACACTGTAGTTGTAAGCAGTGACCATTTGCTACCAATCGAAACTTTCACTTATTGCAGGGGTGAGTGAAGGGAAGTGGCTACTACTTCAGATTATGTTAAGAGTTTCTCAGAATCTAGCGTTTCTAGCTAAACTGTTAGGCTGTAAATAGACTTTGTGATGGTTTGGGTAGACTTTGCATACATCCACATCTCAGAAAGGTTTGGTACATGATCATAAAGCTAAGAATTCAAGAGTCTAGCCAGCCCATATTTGGAGCCCAGGGGTTGGTTGGTTGTAAATACTGATACTTTTTAAGTGGAAAAGTGTGCTTTAACATTTCAGGACAGAAGGTCACCAGTCTTTGTATGCATGCTCCAAATCTTTGGATCAGGATCAGTCAGGATTTATACAAAGCGCGTTGTGTCTTTAACGGGCTTGACCTCCCTTAAACTTTATGCTCTCTCACTTGATCAACTGTGATTCACTAAACCAAGGAAGAAAAATAAAATACCTTCCTCTTTTTAATATTCAGGTTTACTTCCTAGTGTCCTCTTATACTTTGCAATCTGTTTAATGTTGGTAGCATTTTCTAATTTAATGTTTCCAAACAAATGATATTCAACACTGAGTTACAAATCCTTAAATCAGCTTCTGTTGTCACAAACACTTCTGAATATACAGATTAGGTCAACTTTTCAAAAACACATTTGTTTTGTCTCAATGTGTTCTGTGTGTACAGTCTCAGCATATTAGCGTAGCAACAAGGTTAGCCTTATTTTCTTTTTTTAATTCCGTGAATTGCTCGATTTCTTTGTAGAATTGATCTTACGGAAATGAAAGTGCTGAGTGCCTCTGATTTAATTGAAATGGAGAAACTGAAACCAAATGTGGAGTTATAAGAAAAGTTCTGATAAATCCATAGCATGGGGTATCCCCCTGGACGGTGGGTTTGATAGTGAAACAGCAAAGAAAAAACCCTGATCAACCCTTCCTCTTCTGCATTTCCAAAACAGACCTATCTTACAGAAGTGTATTATATATTATATTAAATATGCCATCTTAATTTGCACACTTGACTATCATAAGTATATAAAGTGTCTTTGTATATTTGTCATAGATGTAAGGCAATTGTATCCGTTTTAAAAAAAAAAAAAAATTGAATAGAAAATGGGAAGATACAAACTTAACTTAGATTTTTATGAATGATAATAATAATAATTATATGATAATGATGAGCAAAAACTTGACACGCATTATACTCAGTACTGAAATCAGGCTGTATTTGTCTTCATGATGCGAGTTATGCTAATGCAGATTGAAATTGCAATAGCAAAGCTTTGAATAGAATCATATTAAAGTTGTGGTTTCTCTGTGGCTAAGATCTCCTTTAAACAAATGGTTTGGTGGTAAACTGGTTTTATGTTGGAGCTACATTCAGCTACCTATTCTTCGTTACCCTAGTTGGAAATAAAGAAACAGGAAATGATGGTGCATTTATCTCACAACTATTTATGAACTGATATTGCAGTGCTTGCCACAAGCCTATTGCAATGCTTTGCCTTTTATACATTATTTTCATCCTGTTGTCTTTTTAACTCGTAAACTTCTCATATACAAATCATTTGTAAGCAGTTTATTGTTGGAACCTCATCCTACAGTATAAGATGGATTCTCATTGTGAATTCTTTAATTGTGGTTATTTGAAAATGATCTAACAATGCTGTTCTTGTTCTTTTATAGGTCCTCTCATCACGACCATTGATCAGATTTAATGGAAACCAAGGGGTAAGAATACTTTTTTTTTTTTTCTCTCGCTCTCTCCTTCCAGGGTGTCTGCGGAGTCTTAAAAAGTATTACAAGTTGATAAATCAATTTAGCGAAAATGAAGGCTATTAAAAAGTATTAAACTGCATTTTCCAAGGTATTACATTTTGTAGCTTGTTTTCAATAAGTATATAAATGGTCCAAAGAGGTTGTATTCTACAGTGTGCCTGAATGTAATCATTGCGTAGGTGTGTAGTGTGATTCTGTGTAGTTTATTTATGGCATCCCGTTGGATTTGACGTCATCTGAACATCGCACGCTCACTGCTTGATAGCATGCGAAGATCCGTTTACGCTGGTTGTTAGACAACATCGTTATGGGGAAATGCAAATTTGCATCTCTTGGGAACAATGCCTAAATCAAATACTACTTTCTAATGGTTTATTTTTCTAATAAACCTTGCATTGGGTTGGTCACACACTTCNAAGTACCGTAATTTTCGGACTATAAACCGCGCCTTTTTTCCCATTTTTCGACGCTGCGGCTTATATAACGGTGCGGCTAATCTATGGATTTTTACAGCTAACGGTAGCTGTAAAAATCCATAGATTAGCCGCACCGTTATATAAGCCGCAGCGTCGAAAAATGGGAAAAAAGGCGCGGTTTATAGTCCGAAAATTACGGTACTTAAATATGGACTTGAGTAAATCTACTTTGTTACATTCCACCACTGAATAAATGTTCGGCTATCATGCATGTGTAACATTAATCGCAAAAGCTCATTGCAATATTTCCAAATGTTAATGTTTTAATCTTACAAAATAGATTGAATTCCTTTTGGAGTGCTATCACTGCCTGTCTTTCCCAAAGAGAGATGTGTATCTGACAGAGAACAGGTTTGATGTTTCTTAGAAAGAGCCTCTGTTCAGTGAATGCAGGATAAAAGTAGAAATCAGACGGGGAACTGAAGTGTATAACTCACCTCCGGGGCTAGGCATGATGGGAGTTCCTGGTGGGCCGCCTCCCCCTGGAGGGCCCTGAGGGGGTGAAGAGGAGAGAGACAATGAGAAATGAGTGCTGAGTGCACCTAGATAGCAGTGTGCCTGTTAGATATCACTGCATGACAGGTAATTTATGGCCGCCGGTCCAACACGAGTCCATGACGGGACACTTACCACATAGTTGCCTGGAGATGAAGATGAATAAGCTATCTGTGGAGAGAAGAGAAACGAGGTTGAAAGAAAACATGAGACACGGGTATTGTAAACACACTCAGTCATATAAGAGATGAAGATGTAAGACAGTGAGACTCACTGAGTTGGAGTTGGGGTTCGGCCAGGGACCTCTTCCACCTGGACCCCTGCAGGAATACAGAGAGGAAGAGATGGAGAACTTTAATAGAAGACTTCAGGCACATATCAGAGCAGCATGCATCATAGGAGATACTTGTCATTACTCACATGTTACATTTGATGATTTTGTGAGTGCATAAATAAAGTCTATTAGTCTATATGCACATATTTTAGCTGTGAGAACATTGCTCTTTAGCTGCAGAAAGCACACCTTTAGAAAACATCCTTAATAGAGTAATTCTTTCTGATGACATCATCTTTCAATTGAGATTTTTGTAAGTGAACAATGTTTTTTTTTTTTAATAGGGGCAAAAGTTGTTTTATAACCTGTTGATGTAATTACATTTCTCTTCTCACATAGTATGGTGAGTTCTGGGGACAAATTATTCCAAAATGCATAAACACAAACAGTACTTATTAAAACTAGAAAAGTTAAAACACTAAAGCAATTTAAAGTTTAAGTTTAATGCACATTTCTCTCTGTACTTGTACGTATACACACATTTTTAATGCATTGTCGAGTCTCCATATCTCACCAAGTGACTGATGAGAAAAATGTTCACCTCTAGCAACAATGGTTAAAAACCACAAAAATCAGTGAAAAAAATACAGAATTTCCCTTTAATTATGGTTAACTCTGGCAGCAGAATATAGACATTTAAAAACTAAATTGTAAATGTACTCACATGTTCATGCCCGGCATCCCTGGCCCCATGGAGTTTGGAGGAGGCCTCATCCCTCCACCGTAGTTCTGCACAAAGAGAGGAACACACACACACACACACACACACAAAGTCACACCTGCTCCGTCTAAAGGTTTGAATCTTAATGAAGGTCAGCGACCATCATGTCTCCCCCTAACTAGCGTTTAATTATGTGATGTATGGGCTGTGTGTGAAAGAGGACAGCTGTGTGTGAGAGCACGCCTGTATGTTGTGTGTCTCTGTGTGTGTGTGTGTGTGTGTGTGTGTGTGTGTGTGTGTGTGTGTGTGTGTGTGTGTGTGTGTGTTAGGTGATTTTGGAGCGAGTAGTGGTTTGTTGCAGAATAAAGCAGATGTCTGGTAACAGTAATTCAAAGGGAAACTGTTGTTTAAGCACCTTATGTGTGTTACTGAGGCTGTGGGTATGAGGTGGAGTTGTCGTTTACTAATCAGAAGGTAGCTGGTTCGATTCCCAGCCCCTCCAGTCAACATATCGTTTGGCAAGACACTTAACCCAAAATGACTCCCTGATGGCATAGCCAAGGGCGTATGAGTGTGTGAATGCAGCCTCTGCCTCTGTATGAATGTGTGTGAATGCTGAGACGCCCCAAAGACGAATAAAGCCGTATATAAAATGCAGAGTATTTATGTATTTCCCTGGATTACTTTGACTTTTAAAAAAAACAACAGTGCAAAAATTGGCCCCACTTTTGGTCAAAATGTGTTGATGGCTGCTTGCTCAAAGTTTGTCTCCTTAGGTGGGATTCACAAGTAGGATTGAACAGGAAGTCCTGGCGTTAGCAGTAGGTGAGCTCTGCTTAGAGCCAACCTAATCATCAGAGCACTTCTGACATTTAAAGGCAGAATAACGAGGCTGGCACAACCAGAATCCTTCCTCTTGATTATCTGCATGCAGTTTATAGGCTGCTGGTTTGACATTATGGCCGTTTTTATGGTAGTCCTTTAATGAACATTTGGTGTGTTCATAAACTGTAACTCTGAGCACCAAATGTGGCTGTGTGGCATCTGCAGAGTGGGAGTGCAATGGGCTGGTAGTGAAGGATATACCATCCTCTGTCATGACTTTATTAACTCAATCATCTCTATTTTATTCTGTATGTGTGTTTATTTCATATCCTTGGTGCTTACCTGTGGGCCCATGCCACCCATGCCTCGAGGGGGATTCATTCTCATTGGACCGCCCATGTTTGGATGTCCTGTGGTGAAACAGCAGCTTGTTAGAATAGATACACTATTTGGATCAATAATAACCCCATAAATGAGGAGAAAAGGCTCAGACTGAGACGGAAAAATGACATTACTCTGAAGGTGCTTTCTGGAATAACAGCACATGTTTTAATACCTTGAGGTCTGGTGGGGTCCAGGCTGTTTGGTAGGAGAGGCTGTGATCCGGGGATGCTCCCAGGAGGCTGATTTGGCATACGGAGGGAGGGCCTTGGGCCGCCTGGGTACCGTGGAGACATGAATGGCTGCAGGAAGGACATAAGAAGGACGATAATTACTTTAGTTTAAACTTTAGGGTATTCAGAAGCAGAATGGTTGTTAAAATGATTTTTCCAGTGACCTTGTTTCACTTAAGTGCATTTCATACACTCTAAGACGGGTTGAACATTTCCTTGAGTTATAATAAAACTTAGCATCTTATTTATAAAGATAGCAGGTAAAATAAATAGATTCACCAACATAAACACAAATTAAGAAGGTTGTCTCTTCAGAGACTTATGAGGAAAAATACTTTACATGGTTTGCTTTCAAGTAAAACATTCAAACAATCTCTATTTATAGGAGGGTTTGTGAAATGAATGCAGCAGAAGTAATGAGATGGAAGGACATGGATAGAGATATAACAATGCATGAATTGTAAAATACACAAACCACAAGAGTGTGTATGTCTGAGCGTGCCATAGTCATTTTAGCTCCATGTTCAAAAAATAACCTCACATCCATAAATGTTGGTCCACTGTTTTGTGATTTAAGACGGAAATAAAATATATTGTCTTTTTTATGAATTCATCTCTATTTTCTCTCTCTTTTAAGATGCTGTTGAACTAATAAGCCACAGATCTTTACAGACTAGTTTTCCCTACTGTTATGACGCTTATATCAGCTTTAATTAAAAGGGTTTATTTTAGTGTATCTGGGCTCTGTATGCTCGCCAGAAGCAGACATTTTACTATTTAAAACCGATCAGTCACAACGGTATACCTCAGAAAAACCGAATTAACACAGATACTTGTAAAGAATGGAAACAAAAGACTCAGTTAACCTGACTTCCTGTTTCTATCTCTCCCTATTATGAAGTGCTGCCTTTCAGGTCAGCAGGGGGAGCTATTGTGTAACAGAAAAAATTCCTATAGTAGTTTTGTTACATTTACTAAGAAGGAGGGGCTTGTTGTTAAGTTTTGTAAAGTAAGGCCATAGGTGGTAAAATCCATTAGGATAAAGGTAAAGGAGGACAGATAAGAGAGAGGAGGGGAAACATGGAGGATTAAACCCTTGGACTGGGAGACAATATGGGAGAGGAGGAGATGGAGCAGCGAAGAAGAGGAACATGGGAACTGCGTTGTCTTTATTTCAGCACATTTTCTCACCAAGTCGGTATCACCAGTGCTTCAAATAAACAGCCTGGATAGTGTGAATTATAACAGAAAGTGAAGACACCATGCACACAGATGTTTCAGCAGAGAGGGGACAAGAGCTAGCCAAACACACACACACACACACACACACACACACACACACACACACACCTAGTGAATAATGTAAAGCACCCCAGACAGATGGTTTTCAGAATTACCTATGAGAGTATGCTGCTACACAAACTACCAATACCCACATCCAGCGAGCCATATTTCAGCATCAGATGATAAGAATTAATCACACTGTTTTAGTATCAAGGGGAAACATGCTGATTGGAATGCCGATTGGGTAAGAGCTATGTGTTTTGGTCATGGAGCATGAACAGCAGAATAATGTTCATATCATCATTTTCACACAGCGATAAGCACCGACAACGCAAATACAAGGAGACTGGCTTTCAATAGTAATTATGCAGTGTGTGTTTGGTGTATGTGTGTGTTTGGGGCAAGTGGAGGACGAATTATATAATCCCATATACCCCTTGAGGCTAGGAATGACTTACTTCTTTTTAAACCTCATCCTACTCCTTTCCTGTCTACCTTTTCCTCCTCTCCTCTCTATCCTTTGACCGTGTTGTGGTAGGCTTTTGCACGAAGAGCTGCACTGTGTCAGGCTGTGCTGCAATATTAATGGTCTATTGATGGACTATGGGATGGTGAGTGCCGGGCTGAGGGAGAGAGGAAGCCCTCCAGATGCACCTCCGCTCCTTACAGCTGGGCCAACACCGCTAAATTATTCATCCGACCCACCACCGTGGATGCTGCCTGTCCTGCCTACTAGCACAACAAGGGAGCGGTGTGCTGTTCGTACACCGCTGCTGTGTGAGCCAGTGAAAAGGTGAGGTGAGTGTGAGAAATGGCTTAGAATGAAGTACAACACAGCAGCAGCAAGGGGGGAGGAGGGAGTCAATGTTTCCGTCTTACCTGTCCGTGAGGTCCCATCATGGGATTACTGGGGTTGTGTGGGGGAGGCTGTGCGTGTGGGGAAGGCTGAGATCCTGGAGGACCCTGGTGGAGAAAGATAGAAAAATATGTCAATAAAGTGTAACAATAAAGTATTTAGTTATATTGAACAAGGGAGATATTAAAATAAAGCACAATGTCGTATAATAATAATAAAACATGTTATTTATACAGCGCTTTTCCTGGTGCTCAAAGCACTTTACATGCAAGTAAAGACAAATAATAACAAAAGTGAAAAAATAAAGTGCAAAGCTAGGTGGAATAGGGGGGG